AAGAAAAAGCACATCTATATAAATACATATCATTATGGTCCAGAAAAGGCAAATACAGTACTGTAAGAGGAAAGCTCTGGCTCAAATCCTTATAATAGTGACTTAGAATAGCTTGATTTTATCTAAGTCACTTGCCTTCTCTCTTACAGGTTGTTTTCCCATCTATAAAACGGGTAATAATGGCTACTTCATACAGTTGTTATGGGACGGGGGCAGGGGGAGGGGTAAGCACACCTGCCACAGTGCCCAGATACCCTCAATAAATGGTAGCCATTATTATAAACAATTAAAAATATTAATAGTGCTTATGTTCAGGAGGGATGACTAAAGGCTTTTTATTGAGATCCAGCTCAGTTGTCATCTCTACCTGGAGTCCTTCCTTGATCTCCCAGGAAGGATTAGAAGCCACCTCTGGGTGTGTCACAGTTTACTTGCCTGTTTCCCCATCAGACTGTGACTCCTTGAGTGTGTTTTTTCTTTTCTAAGCTGCAGAAAACTACATCTTCAAAACTGTGAGGCAGAGTTTCATGGGAAAAGCACTGTCTTCCTTCCATCTAGCCCAGGATCTGGCCCGTGGATGCCATTAATAAATATGTACACAATTATTTAATTATGTTCATTATCCTTTCTACTACTTTCCAAGTCTTCTGTAATGAGCACATGTGACTTTTATAAGTACAGAAAGACATGTGACTACACAGTGGTAGGTGAAGGTGGAGGAGGCTGAGCTGGTAGCAGGGGAATGCTGGATGGACAGAAGGGGAGCAAGATCAGATGAGAATGGCAGTAACCAGTCCTAGACAGAGTCAGGAGATAAGGCTTCAGGCTGAGTCGTTATGTTACAGATACAGGGCCTGGACTCAGAGAGGGGCAACTGCTGGTTATTTATTGTCAGACTGGAAAAAGAACCCAGGTTTAAAACAGTGCTTTTCCCATGAAACTCTGCCTCGCAGTTTTGAAGACGTAGTTTTCTGCAGGTTGGAGAGAAAAACAAAAAGCTGAGCAGAAAGAATGGGTGACCAAGTCGATGCTCAGCAACTGAGAAAAAGAAAATGCTGCTGACATCCTGGGCCGAGCTGAGGGGTGGCTCACATGGATAGATCTGAAGGAACAGCGGAGCTGTCAGGTGGAGATGTTCAGTAGACAGCTGGACATTTAGGATAGAGGAAATGTAAACTGGGTGAACACATCAAGTGCATAGAGGTCAGCAACAGATGAAATGGTCTTCTAGTTGAGAGGCTACAGAGTCCCTGGACTGGCTCTAAGTGGTCATCTGGCCTTTAAACGCAGCCCCTTCCACTGTGAGACAGCCCTGTTAAGGAGCTCTTCCCTGCAGCTGCCGCCCACTGAGCATCCTAGCTTTGCCACTGAACGAATCTCATCCCCTCTTACACACAGCTGTTCCCATGCCTCCTTCTATATTGCCTTCAGCTTTTCCCCATGGTACAGGGATCCAGTTCCTCTTGCCACCTTTCCTGCCCTCCTCTGTACAGATTCTAAGAGCTCAACATCCTACTTGTCTGCAATTGCCCTAGGTGCTCCAGACAGGGTCTGACATGCACAAGGGACAGCAACTGTTATTTGTTCACTCTGGACACTAGACTTGTACTAACGAAGCCAACATCAAACCACTTGGGCGGCCAAATCTTGTTTAGGGTCCCTCAGTAGCCCTGGTTCCTCCACCTGTGCTGGCACTAAGAAGCCCATACTCTTGCTTCACGTGAACAGATCAGTGCCTGCCTTATGTCACACCACCTGACAAACCATGCGTGCTTGTGGCCAAGGATCAGTGCTTATCTCTCAGGGGACAGCAACTCAGCAGTCCCTGAGATTATTCAAAACAGTGCTTAGGGATTTCCTTAAGGTACTTGGGAAATCTGGCCTGACTTTCAAGGCTGCTCCTAGGAGTAGAAAACCTGACTGAAGGGAGGGAAGCATTTGCCCTCTGGGATTTAGTAGCTCCTCCTGGTCCTAAGGCCCATTTGGGATGTGTTGTGAAAGTGAATTACCCTCCAACCTCCTTTCCTGCTCTGGAGGAAACTACTGCAAGACAGTTACTAAGGATCCCAAGGAGATAAACATTGTACGGTTAATGCTGGTTGTGATGCAGTGAATTATTTAATATGGTCCTTCTAGCCATAGACTTTTTGGCTCTTACACAATGACTGGATGAGACTATGCAAATAAGGTGCTTGTGGCTTACCAAGGAGAATAGACAGCTTGCTGCTAATGCAAATAAGGTACATGGCACCCTAGTGGGGGTAGGACCATGCAAATAAGGTGTATGGAACTCTAACGAGGGGCCTGGTCAGTTTGTCATCCCACTAGGCTTAAAATGAGCTATCCAAGAGGTGGAAAGGGGGGACCTCACTACCAACAAGAAGAAGAGACGGCAGTGGAGTGCGTCCTTTGGACCCCAGGATCCCTGTGCTGGGAACCTCCTAGACCCAGGAGACAGACAGTGAGAGCTGTGGTGCTGGTGATGGTGCAGGACGGCAAGAAGTGGTGGCAGAGAAATGGCGGCAGCAGAACCAGGAGACCAGCATGAGGTGGTGCAATGGGCTTCCAGGCCCATGGAGCAAGGCAGTTACGGTGGGTGTGCTGATCCATGGAGCAAGAGAGCTGAGTGCCTTCAGGCAGAAAGCCTCCTGGTGGAGTAGGCTGTCTCCAGGCACTTGGTGGAGCTAGGCTTGTTGACCCTCAAAACAAGAGAGCTGAATGCCTTCGGGCAGGAGGCTTGCTGGTGGAGTGGGGTGCCTCCAGGTACTTGTCGGCAGAGCTAGGCAAGCCAACCCACGGAACAAGACAGCTGAGTACCTTCGGACTGAGGCTTGCTGGTGGAGTCAGGTGCCTCCAGGCACTTTTTGGTGGAGCTAAAGAGTTTTGTAACATTTGCTTAAATAGGGCAGATGCTGGGCCAAGGGGCTGAAGGCCAGAGAAAGGCCTGCCTGCAGGCACAGCTGAGAAGAGGCTGTCCTGATCAAAGAACTGTTACTTCCTTAACAAACCCCATAACTCTGTATGGCTATGAGTTCTGTATGGCCATTCCAACAAGTTATCAAACTCAGCAGAGAAGTATACAGTGCCATGGGAAAGATGGCTGGTGTTAGAACTGGTAAAAGAAGTTGGAGAGAAAAGGTATATCTGACCTCTGCCTCATAGGAATCAGCTCTGGGCTGTTGATCTTGATTCTCCTTCCGCCTTGTCAAGTTAGAAAATGGCCACCATGCCATTTTCACACTGGTTACCAAATATTTCCAGTTCTCCCCCTCCTAGGCACAGGGTAGGATTACTCACTCTTCTTGGCCCCTCATGATTGAGTGGGAATATGGGATTAATTCTCGCCAATGAGATGTGAGTGGAAGTGAACGTTTCCACTCCTAGGTGGAGCATTTAACTGCAGATGCAAGACCTTCCAGAGCATTCTCTTTTCCCTCTGGCAAGCAACCAGCAACATCTCACATGGTGGTTGCTCTGTCAGTTGGGGTCCCCAAGTGCCTATGATGAGCAGAGCCCCCTGTGCTGGCCTGTGATGGACACGAAGCATAAGACAAAAATAAATCTTTGTTGTTTTAAATCACTGAAATTTGGGGTTGTTTGTTATCACAGCATAATCTAGTTTATTCTGACTGACACAGAGCCAACTGCATAATGAATGGAGCCTTAGAAACCATTTGGTCCAATGTTATCATTTCACAGGGGGAAGCTAAGGTTCACTGAGGGGTAGTGCTAGCCCAAAGTCACTCAGTGAGTGGTGGAGCTGGGATCAGAACTCATGTCTTCTCTGTCTCAGTCCAGTAAGCTAAGTGCTCTTACTCAAGACACAGAGAATGTCTGCCACTAGGAGGGACCTGCCACACTGAATACCATATTTTTATGCAAAAAATACATGCGTTAAACGTTTTTTGCCAACCACACAACTCCCTTGTACGTGACTTTCCTAGGCGTGCTGTGCGCGTTACATGTGTGGGCATTTATGTGGGCATGTTATTTTCAAAAACACACGGTAATCTCAAGGCACTTCAGCCAGTTTGCTCACGAGATTCCATGATTCTGGAAAGAACACAAGACTGAGAATCAGAAATGAGGTTTTCTAGTCCCAGTCCTGCCACTGAACCTACTACATGACCTTGTGCTCAACCCTGTTTCAATTTTGATGTGATTTACTCCAGGACCAAAGGCAAGCCACATCCCATCTCTGGGCTCCAGTTTTCCCATGCCAGTTGGTCAAGGGTTCAGTGATTTAAAACTTGTGCCCCATAGAAAGCCCCTTCAGAAGATATCCCAGGAGGGAAGGAATGGGCCAAGTGGGCTGGGCTCTGGTCCACCTCCTCTTCAACTAGAACAGCTCTATTTTTCTCTGATTTGTTTATGCTTTGGCGAGATTTCCAATCACTGGACTTAATGATTTCTAAGATCCCTGCTGATTATGAGATTTGTGATTCTAGTTCTTGGATTCTGCCAAGTATCTCCTGAGTTACAACTCTGTGGCTAGGAGGAGAAGACAGCCTGTTTTCATGTAGTTTAAAAGTCTGGTTGAGAAGATCAAATTAAGATGGGGATTTTTTTTTTTTTTTTTGGTTCAGACTCTAGACTAGGCTCTCTGGAGTGTGTGTGGAGGGGAGAGATTCAGGGAATGACTCTAGAGGGAGTGATGATGGGAAAGAATTGCTTGAGGAGGTAGAAGAATACATGCGGCCTAGGAGAAACACTACTTGGGCTAGCTCCCTTCCTGTGAAAAGGAACCGGGAGGCCCATCACGTCAAAAGCTGAATTCTAAGGTTTGTCTTTAGAAGCCAGAAGTGGGCCAGGCCTCTTCCTGGTCCTGACAGTGTACCTTCCTGTTCTTGATGAGGCTGGAGGTTGGATTTTTATTTAAATAGACAATAATCACTTAAGGAGAAGTGGTCTTTGGTGTGGAGCCTGACATAATTTAATGAGCAAAAAGATTAAATGATGCATAGAGTGCCCACAGGCCTCCTCTTTTCTCTGAGACTTACCTTGGCCTCAGAAGTCCTCAGAAGCTTCATCACTTCCCCTTCTCGGGCATAATCCAAGGGTGTGTGTCCCATTTCATTCCTCTGCAGGGGACTGGCTCCTGGTAGGAGGAGAAGGATAAATAGTCAGAGGGTCCATGAGTGATCAGTGAGATCCTTCCCTTGGAGTTGGCTTAGGGCCCTGATTTCAGTGTGAGGAATATTCATGGGAATATTTAACATAAAAACCTAAGAGACATTATAATGATGGGAAAACACATCAAGCCACTCTGGGAGGACAGTTCTTAGTCATTTCTGAAACAGCTGTCAAGCGTATTGGGGCTCCTACATATAGCATGCACACATGTGCAGAAACACACTAACCACATGGAGAAGTGCTGCACGCACACATAGATGTGTTATGCACAGACAGGTATGCTATGCAGACACAAATACACACAACTGAACATGCAAACAAATATACCAAACAAATACATAGATTAATACATTCCAACACAAATACACGTGAACATACAAACTCATATATACAACATTCACTAACATGCTCACATTTTCAAACACATTTGATTACAGATGAAATTCACTCACAAAGCTATATAAAAAGGTTCCTTTCTAAAGCACAGAATAACCCAAATAATTAAAAGGTCTCTTCTTTCTTCTCCTGCTCCTTTCCTTTAATACTCTCTTATTGCCAGGCATTTCCTGTCTGTCAGAGTCAGCCGAGGCTTCTAGAAGGATATGGGCTTCACCAGCAACCTGGCTATGCCAGCCCACAGTTCAGTGCCCTTAACAACGGTAGCTGTTAGTGTGCGTGTGTGTGGGGGTGTGTGTGTAAAGAATATCCCCCAATTACTAGTTCCTCTGATTTGAGGACAAAGTACTCTGAGTATGACAAAAAGGTTAGCTAGGGGCTATGCATCCACCTTCCTGCTTTTCAGTGCCTGCAGCTGGTAATCCTGTATGAACTGTCTACTGTGCGCAAGGCTTTACAGGCATGGAGAAAAAGCTACTCTGCCCCTCCATGCTGTCAGGGAGGGAGCCTCACTCTCCTCTTCGAAAACCATCCATCCCATTCAATTTGGCAAACACTGAATGAGTGGAGCCTGGGGACACAGAAGAATCAGATCTGGCCTTGCCTCAGAGGCACTACTATCAAGGCAGAAAGACAGAATTGCAAGAAGAAAGCTGTGCCTTATACACAGCAGATGCTCAATAAATATGTGTCAAATGGTACATTAAAGTAATAGTTAATTAGTATTCCTTGAGCTTCTTTCTTGTTAGGGAAGCACTGTATAGAAATAAAGAAGTGTCAAGTGATGGGCTGGCTGGGGAAAGTAAACACACAGGCATGGCCGTGTTAGCACAGGGCCTGGCTCAGAGAGGGTGCCCAGCCACTGTTTGTTGATGGACAGTAAGAATCAGTTTCTCAACCCCAGCCTGTGAAAATATTTTTACCAGGATATAAAACAATTCCTACTGAAAGTCTCTGCTTCTTAAAAAACCTATAAACTTACCAACAATAGTAAACATTTGTTAAGCATTTAAATGTGGCTGTCTGCCTAGGCTGCAGAGAAGAGGCTACGTAAGTGTGGAAGGAGGAGGAGAACAGGGGGAAGAAGCAGACAGCAGGAAGCACAATCTAGGTAAAGGAATCTTTTATTATCAATAAGGAAAAGTTTACACTTTTATACACAATCCTATTTTCTAATAGAAATTTAGTACTATTTTTTTAATTGAGGTATAATTGACATACCACTCTTATACCATAAAATTAAACCCTTTAAAGTGTAAAATTCAGTGGTTTTTAAATATATTTACAATGTTGCGCAGTCATCATCACTATTTAATTCCAGAACATTTTCACCACCCCAAAGAGAAACCCCATACCCATGAACAGCCACTCCCTACTCCTCCCTCCCCCAACCCCTATTTTTCTTCCTTTCTGTGGGTTGTCTTGTTTTTATAGTGCTTTGAAGCATGCTATTTTTTCAAACTGTTTCATTCATTTAACAAATATAAATTGAGTGTCTACCACGTGCTGGGCCCTATGTTGGGCACTGGGGACCCAATGGAGAATGAGAATATGTCCTCATGGAACTTCCAGTCTCCTGGGAAAGTAGACAACAGAATTAATTATATAAAATCATATGAATATATGTAAAGTTAGATCCTGATAAGTAGCATGAAGAAAGGACTCATGGGGCTATGGAACCACATCTCACAGGGTAAAGGAATTGTAAAATAACTTTCTTCTACACAGACCCTTTCCCCCTCATCCTGCTCTCCTCTCTTCCACTCTCTGGGACAAGGTGTCCCTGGCTTTCCTCAGAGGTGGAGCCCTTATGGCACAATCTCACTGGGTGCTCTGGATCCTATTCATTCCTATTTCCTCTGAGGCCACCTGCCATCGGGCTTCCTTTTCTGTCTGTATCTTCAACCTCTCTTCACTGGCTCTTTACTCTTGGTTCGAACAGATCAAATTTTTTCCATGTTAAAAATATTTCCTTTCAGCCTGCTTTCCCCTCAAATTTATTTTATCATTAAATACCTTGAGAGTTGTTTACATTTGCTGGCTCTACATCTTTAGCTCCTATTTACTTCTCAACCCACTCAACCTGGCTTTCATTCTCATCTCTCCATTAACAAGCTCTGGAAAATGCCTTCATAATTTTTCAACGTTTTTGACTGCCTAACTAGAAAAAAACAATGAATAGATCTCTTTTTCATATGACTTGATTTCTCATAGCAGCTGATACCTTGGCTACTCCATCCTTTGAGTTCTATGATACCACACTCTCCAGGTTTCCCTCCCCCTTCTCTGATCATTTATCCTCTGTCTCTTGCTGACTCCTCTTGCTCTGTCAGTCCCTTGAGTGTAGAGGCTACCTAGAGTCAGTCTTTGGCTTCTATTTTGGCTTTAGAGGTAACTTCATCTACTCTCATGACTTTAGTTACCACTTAGGGACTGATGACCCTCAAATCTCTATCTGCTAGCTGAACATCTTTATCTGATCACCCATAAACAGCACTTACTTAACATATCCCCAACCAAAATTCATCATCTGTCCCTGATCTTGCTCCTCCAGAGTTCTGGTCTCAAACAATGAGTTTGCCACCTAAATACCTACTGAATCTATCTTCTCGTCATTCTCACTACCGTGGCTCTAGTTTAGGCTGTCATTGTAGCCATCGAGACCACTCTAATGGTCTCCTAATAAACACTACTAAGCACCTACTTATCTGTCACGTTGTGAAAGATTCATTACTTCTGCTCTTGAGGAGCTCTTAATCAAAGGGGAGAGACAAAGACACAGACGATTATAGTGCTAGGTGATGAGTACTTTGAAAAATGTAAACTCAAAGTGGTATAGGAGAACACAGTATGCAATGACTGGGAAAAGGCTTCCCAAAGGGGTGACATATATATTGGGCTTGAAAGATACAAAAGTATCTTTTGTTCATGAGACAAAACTGCTAATAATAATGATGGTAGTAATAACCACTGGCATTTATTGAATGCTATGTGCCCATCACTATGCTTTATACTTTGTATTATATCATTTAATCCTCACCAACTACCCTGAGGAATAGAAGTTAAAATCTCCATGTTACAGACATGGAAACTGGGCTCAAAGAAGTGAAATAACTAGCCCAAGATCATAAAGCTAGTTATTTGCTTAGCCAAGAGTCAAGTCTATCTCCAGGTTTTCCAAACACCAATTCTCCACACTCTCACCATGGTGGTCATTACACACTCCTGCTGAAAAATCCTTCCGTGGTTGTTCATCACTTACAGGACAAAGTGTACCGTCCTTCGTGAGGAGAGTGTCTGTGGTTAAGTCCCTGGAGGCTCAGTTGGAACCTCATTCTTGCAATTCTGTTGGCATTAACTGGGCACTTCATAACTGCAGTGCCCTGCATGCAGGATGATGGGGGATTGGCAAAACCGCTGAATAGTTTTATTTTTTATATTTCTTGACTTCTCTGTAGTAACTGAAACTTTGGCCACTCTCTCCTTGGAGTTCAATAAAACCACTTTTCAGGTTTCCCTCCTACTCCTGTGACCATTCCTTCTCTGTCTCTATAGCAGACCCCTCTTCCTGTCTTTAAGATTAGATGCTATCTAGAGTTCAAGTCTCCAGGAGCTAATGGGGATGAGAAAGGAGTACCTAGCTATAACACAAGATGTGTGTGGTCAGTGCACTGAAGAAGAACAGACAGGACTGTGGGGGTTCAGGAAAAAACAAAGTGCTGAGGGGCTTGTTAACCTGGCCCAGCTCTCCTGGCCCCACCCCCACTGTCTGGTGCTGAGCACTGAGGGGGCTATGAAGGGTTAAGAGGCCAGTGGCAGACAGCCTCCTCCCTTCCCTCCAGAGCTCCGTACAACAGCAGGGTAGAAAGGGAGCCACAATTAAGTGATAAAAAGGCCTTTCCTTTCTCAGGCAGCCTCAAGGGGAGCTCTCTCACTGGACATGGGCTGGAGTAGAAGCAAGGGACTAGAGAGAGTCCTCTGGAAGGGAATAAAAAGAAGAGCAAAGGAGAGATGAGAGGAGAAATGGGTAAGGAAGACAAAGAAATGGTGAAAGAGGAGGGCAAAGACAGTTGAAGAAAGAGAAGAAGGTGAGATTAGCTGCTTCAAACAAGTGCTGTCAGTGATCTATATTTACTTACAGAATGAAAAATGTGTGCCATAAACATTGGCCACTGAGAAATTTCTAGTAGGAGTCATGTCTCTTCTTATAAAGGATGGGATGGGGACACTCAGGACATGTCTGCACCTGGGCCAGCCAGCATAGGGGTGCCTTTCAAAGCAGTGGTGGGCTGTCTCCAGCCCTGAAGGCTCTCGGCTCAGGACCCATTCCAACCACTCATGACGGGGGAAGTCAGTCTGGCTCCCCAAGGTTCTGGAGCCTCGGGGTGGCACGTCTGTTTCCACTTTAGGAAGGCTGAGGTGGGGCACCACGGATAATATCCATCTAATATGAGTCCCTCAACCCCTGCACCCTCTCTCTGACTTGACTAATTGCTGTAATAATTGATAGAACCTGACTTCTACAACTGATCGATTTCACCTCCACAACCAACAGCCACAAACCATTAC